TACGTCTTTGTTGGCTTTTTATTTATATATTTTTTTAATTCTGTGTTCGGATTACGCTACATTATCATTTCTTCTTGATCTGAAGTTTCCTCTTCCTCCACTTCGTAAGGACGCCGTACCGCTGTTTCCGTCTATCCGTCCAGTCTCTTCCAATCTTCGCAGTTGATTCGATTTGATTCCTTTCCAAACATTGATTCCCGATCCGAAAAGTATCTCTAATCGACATCTGCACCTCTCGGATGCACCTTTCACGATTTTTAAGAACTTCCTTGCATTTTTGCCGTAGGTTTCTTATCCTTCCTCAGGTGTTCGAAATATCATTTTGGTCAATCTAGTTTTGTCCATTCTGTGCCAGCGTCCGAGAAATTAGAGCCTTCACTTTCACATAATTTCCGAGAATTTTTCCATTTATATTTCGTAATTGTTCCGGAGTTTGATGTTTTTATACGAACACACTTTGTTTTCAATTATTTTAAGAAAACAAAATACTTCAGCACCAACGATACATTTAATTTTACCTTTCCTGTATCACAAATATATTCTGTTATTTTCTGAAACCAACTCCAATATGCTCGAAAGTTGGTTCCCGCCCTTTATTTTTAGTAACTTCTAACGACAATTAGCGTGTGTAGGGCTAATATTATCTACAGCTTTCCAAATAGATTTGTTGACGTTTACGGTTTAAATATGCCGTACGTGTAACATAGTCTTCACCAATAAATAGTACATATAGTATAAAATATATTTTTTTTAAATCGAACTGGTATACTTCGGTATAGAAAAAGCTTTACTTTATTAATAATTGAATTATATTGGGATAATCATTCAAAATATTACTTACCAATGTTAGTGTCATGTCGAAAAACACAGCGATCGGCTAAAATCTGCGCAGTTTTTGCTGCTTGTTCACTCCATCTCTGAATTAAAAATTTTAAAACATATAAATTTGGGTATCATTTATTTATATTCCTAAATTTTATATGTCATCGCCTTAATGAATAACTAAAATTTATAAAGGAGTAAATTCAGAAATAAAATTATTTTTCACTTTACCATTTCAATCATATCTTGAGCAGGTGGGAGATTTATTCCTTTACCAGAAGCGACCAAGTTCCTTAGTTCATTGTGAGTGTCGAGGATTTCCTTTTTCTGAGCGCAGGTCAGTCCGGAACCTAAAGTACATGATTATTATTTTTCGTTTTATTATATATATATATATATATATATATATATATATATATATATATATATATGTGTGTGTGTGTGTGTGTGTGTGTGTGTGTGTGATTAATAGGCCCATATACATATTTTTCAATTGTGCAATGTTGATTATAACACAATTTTAGTTTTTTATATTATTCTATAACAAACAAATTATACATCTTCAGTCTTCATCATGGTCACTTATTTTCACGTTATCATTAACTCTCGTTCAATTTCTTTTCCCATTTATTTTCATCAAAATCTTATCCAATTATAGTTTCGTTCTTCGGTTATATAATAAAATACTACATCCTACATAAATAACTGAATTAATTGATTTTCTAGTATAGGTTATGATTTCAATCCAGCTTATAGCGTTATATTAATATATTTATTTCATCTCTTTATTATTCATTAATAAAAGATAAGTGGGAAATAGTTTAACATACAAATTAAGAGCTTAAAATTTGATTTTTTTAATTAAAAAAGTCTTCCAAGTCCTTACAGCTTTCTCACCGTTTTCATTGTCTAAATTATATCTTTAATACAAGGTATACAATTTTTCTTATGAGATTAAAATCCCAGGGAGAAGCCGATTCGGAAGTACAGTTACCCTTCAACATTCGCGGCTTTGATATCGACGAATTTCGTTTATCAGCTAATGTTAAAATACGAAAGAGTGCCTGAGAATTTAATAATTCTTAAATAAAATAAAAAAATATTTATGCATACTGAACAAGCATATCGCTACTGTTAGTGCAAAAGGTCGTATGTAAAAATTGATTGTTTTACAACTAATTAATTCTTTATGCTTTAGAATAGAATAGAAAAATAATATTATTCTGGGACGAAGTCCCTTCAGAATAACAAAAAAGTACAGAAATTAAAATTTTATATCTGGTCAGATAAAAACAAACATAAAAAGTTAAGATAAAGATAGATCATTAAAAAAAAAAAAAAAAATATCGGTTATACATACTATATACAAAATAAAATAAAAAAATCTATATAAAAAACTCTTGAAACCATACTAAGATATTTAAAACTATGTACAATGTTAAAATATAAATAAACCCTTTTAGAAAAAATAAAAAATACAGAAAAAATAAATGTAAACTCTTCTTAACAGTAAAATCTGTTTCTGTTGAAAAAAAGAAAAAAGAAAAAAAGAAAGTCGAATCTATAATAAGTATTTAGGTTATGAGCTATATGTGACCATGTTCTTATAGATAATATGTAATTTTACATAAAAGGTTAGCTGGTATCTGACTGTTTTTGGGAAAGGAATTGGAATAGGAGGGTTTTGAATGTAGATAAGAATGAAGAATGTAGAATTTTGATAGGAAGGGAATTCCAGAAACTAACAGAACGAGCAATAAAGGAGTTTTGGAACGAGGCAGATCTTTGAGAAGGAATGTAAAGATCGGAAGGTCGAGATCTTGTGGAGAGGGAGTGGACTGAGGACTTGAATTGGAGAAGGCTGTAGGCATAGGAAGGACGATGATTGTTGATGATATGAAAGAGGAATGAACGTACCTAGGAAATATTGTTTTCGAATGGAGGGGAAGAGCCACTCTAACTCAGTGTAGTGGTGAGAGACATGGTAGTTTCTCGGGGCACCAATTACAAATCTCACGCAACTGTTCATTAATCTTTATTATTATAATTTCATATTTTATTGTCCTATGCTATTTTCCATAGCAGCAGACTACTTATATCAGTTGCAGACTACAAAATGTCACCTTTAGCACAAATAGAATAAAAGTTAAAATTTTTACATACGACCTTTTGCACTAATAGCAGTGATATATACATAACCGGTATGTTTTCACTCGTAAAATGGATGGAACTAGAAAAACCATAAGAAAAATTCAACTTGTTTGTTCGTAGTTAACGAGACCAATACGTTTCTTCAGTCAGAACAAAACTAATTAAGCTGGAAAATAAAAATATGAGTAAAGCTCACAAAACTTCGATATTTAAGGAGGAGATTGAGACCAAGACGAACTGGTTTAACTTTAATGGAAATAAACACAATTACAAATAAGACTTTTTTTTTATAAATTCAGTGTTAAATTTACTGAAAATTACACGAAATCTAAGTTATAACAATAAGTGTCGTGCCAATAACGTTTGGAATCGACCAAACAATACAGTAATACCAAGTAAATTAATTTTTTGAATAAAACGTAAAAAATTGTATAACCCCATAACAACATTGTAACAACCTAACTAACTCCCACAATATTAACAATTATTTATATTAATTTTAATTATTAAATGGAATTCGATGAAATTGGTACTAAGTAATTTCTATATTGTTCTCCAAAGTTGGGTCAAATCGAATGCGCCGTTTTCAAACTATAGGCATATCAAATAACACATTTCCTGATCTGAAAGCAGAAGTTTTTTTTTCTGGAGTATTAGATATAATTTGATAATAATGATGCCTATTTCACTTTACGTTTACCAATCACCAAATTCCCTCCAAATTTGAGCAAAAATGAACATGCAGTTTTAGAGATATAGACGTATCAATGAAAACACCTTTACACATATATAAGATATAGAAATGGACAGAATTCAATAAAATTTAATCTACATTACTTTTTCATAAATACCTATATTTTACCTAACTTTGAGCCAAATCGAAGGAGCGGTTTCTGTAATATTAGCTGTAGTAGACATCCCCCTGTATTTATTCCTTTAGATGACAATGTGTGAGTGAATGAGAAGGAATATATAATATATAGGAATGTGAGGTAGCACTGTGAATTGTACTCAATTGTGTAGTGGACAAATTGCTCATTGGAAAATCTGACATCAATAAAGAATCGAAAAGAAGAAAAGGTCCGATCAGGTAGCTGGCAACAGATGGCGAGGACGACGCCGAACACTTGAGGTATGGACACCAACACAAGAAGACGTCATCTGGGAAGAGAGGCTTACTACATTGAAGACCAAGATTATCAAGCCAACCGTTCTCATATATATTCATTTATTATCAGTTGTCAAAATAAATTGTTTTATTATACCGGAGTGAATAGTCCTTTTATTTAATTGTCCTATAGGCCTCACAATTGAAGAATAAACCAGGTGAGTCAATTCATTCAATGTGTTTACTAAGTCCCACATTTCATACATATATTCTTATTGTTTCTTCTCACACAGTGTCATAAAAGGTAATAGATCCCCGAATTCCCAATCACAGTTAAACACCCTCAAAAAGTCTATATCCAGTGCCGGGGTTTTGTTTTAAAGATTCACGAGTGTAGATAACCTTAAACCCCAAAATAAAAGCGGAAGGCTATGCGCCTATTCCCGCCAAAACGAATCATTTACATTTAACTTCCTGTAGGTTATTTACATAGCATATATACAAAAACGCGTTTGAGCATGAGTAAGAGGAAGTGCTGGTTAGAATTTAATAAAATTGGTGTCGGACCGTCTAGATACCAACCGGCACAATTTCTGAAAATTTCACGAAAATCGGATAAACGTTAGTAGGTGATATGCCCGTTACATCGATTTGACCACAGACAGACAGACACCGAACCAAATTTGATCCTTGATGTCTGAAACGTAAAACGCGAGTAGAAATTTTCGATTCTAAGCACAATTTTTTTTAACCTCTCGCAGTAATACAATGCTTCCCTACCTTCGGCGGTGATGAAGCAAAATAAAATAAAAGTAGTAAATATTTTAAATATAAAAACAGTATAATTTTTGTTTGTGTGTGTTTTATTGTCATAAAATAATTCAATCCAGATTGTTACTCGTCATTATAAATCACAGATGTTATAGAAGGTTCTGTAACATATGATTTTGGTTTTGTTTTGTTTTCAAATTAATTTTAGCGTTACATTTTTAAAGAAAATTATTTTTAAAATATTTGTAATGATTTTCGTTGCCCAAATTTTGTTTTTGTTAATTCACCTTTCACCATCTGAGCAAACTCCAGAACTGATACGTAAGTATTTCAGTAATGTGATTTATTATTTTTTAAATCGTTGTGTTCTCTTAATTTTTGTTATTTTCTTTTAGGCCAAAGAAATAAATCAAAGATAGCTCTTTTATTTTATAAAAAAATTATAATTTTGTTTTCTGCATAGTTTCAACCTCTATAAACACACATCTAAATTTATATAATATTTAAGAGTTGCGGAGGGTGTGTGTATATATATATATATATATATATATATATATATATATATATATATATATATATATATATATATATATATATATATAGCTATTCTAATTACATTTAAGATCCTAAACTTGAAAATCAAGGACTATTTCCAATATAAAATTATTGATAACTTTAGGTATCTAAGGAACCAAATTGTCATTGAATTACAGTCTGTCCAGAAAAACATGAACAGGTTATCAGATTCGAAAACTTCATCTTTTCGTCATTATAATTTAGCAGTCAGAAAAGAAATTGAATTTGCTTATAAAACCTAGTCATAAGACGCTCAAAAATCTAGGCTTATTTTGCTAAAATATATGTAAATTTCAAATCACCAATCAAATGAAGCCATTTTTTGCAGCAGATCTATCAAGTGGTACTTCAATGCTTTTTCTATTTACGAAATCCCATGTAAAAGGATAGTCATAGTCTATAAACGATATATTCTCATGATTTAAAAAAAAATTCTCAATAATGTATTTTTAATTCCGATTTTAAATTTACTTGAGTTATTGTCATAAGACTTGATTTTCAATCCATTCTCGACTCACAGTTTCGAACTAACCATTTCATTTATTTATTTATTTTTTTTTTTTCATATTTCTAATAATACAACAACACTACAAATATTGGCATAAAATGGTTAAAAATTAAAAACATAACGCCAATGCGAATGACAAGATCTTTATATTTAAATATAGCATCATAGTAAAATAATATACCGGTAACACTACGATACGAAGAAATTTTATTTCTCAGATATATTAAGAAGATTTATAACTGAGGAGATGAGAAAATAATTGGTGTTTAAATGATGTTTTTTTAGTGAAGGTGGGTAAGAAAATTAAAAAAAAAAGTAGTAATTCTATGAAAAGTATTGCAATGGTTTGCTAGCTGAGATTTCGAATTTAAAGAATAAACAACGGAACAAGGAATAAACAAATCAAGAATGTAGTCTTTTTGGACTTCAGAAGAGTCAGTAAAGGTTTACACTAATGAAATACAATGATAAAGCTATAAATAGACTATGATACAAATCAGTTTTTATGGAATTATTGACGCTGTTCCAAAACTTCGTAAACAGCTTCATGTTATTGTATCGTACAACTTTTTACTTTTATTTACTGTATATATATGTATTATATATACAGTAGAAAATAACAGTTTAAATAACTAATAGTCGTCCAATCCATAATCAACGAATCGTGCCATCCATAATCAACCGGGGATGTAATAAATACGACTTTTGTTCTTTTAATAGTATTTATGATTTGTTAGCAGCAATCTTTTAGCTTTAGTTCAGTTAAAATGCAATTAAAAAATTGTATAATAGCCCAACATGGCCAGAAAATAATTTCTATTCAAAGTTGAGCAAAGTTCAAAGAGTAAGTGAAATTTGTGTGTTGCGCGCACCAGATTTTTTATTTATAGAAACTCTCGGAAATGGAACGTTATCAATCTGAATTTTGGTAAACTTAGTCAATTCAACGAAGTACTAAAAAATCATGAACACCCACCTGCTATTCACGTAAGATAATTTGGCCTCAAAATTGAGGGGGAAAAGTGACCTTCAAAAATATTGGGCCATTTTAGTGACCTCCCCCCCCCCCCAACATGTCAAATTAACGAGGTTATATAGGTCAATCGGACCAATATTTTTGTAGATGGCCTTTTTTCTCGATTTTTTTATATAAGTACCTTTTGATTCTAGAGGAAAGCAGGTGAATATTCAAAAGTTTAAATTATGCGAGCATTTTAATTTAATTTACCCAAATATTTTTGGTATTGTTCCACCTAGAAAGCTGCACTAGATTTGATCCAAATGGTGCCACTGGCACTGCACAAGCGTACCAAACATATTTATCAAACTTCCTTAAAAAATCAATTCAATACTCACTAATGATATTCCTGCAGACTCCCTCGACGGAAACGACCAACGCCAAGAAGAGGAAGAACATGCTAATGATCGAGAAATTGACGATGAGGTCTTCCTACTATATCCAATTGCCTCCCTCTACCAAACTATGATGTAGCCAGAGGTGGGGATCTCTTTATCGTAAACACTTCAAATAAAATAAAGCTTGTTATCAACTTTAGGTTGATTGGTTGTTTTGATGTTTGGGTGGAAAACATTTAAACTATTAAGAGATGGTTTTTAAAAAAATAACAATAAAAATATAAAATAAACTTCAAAAATAATTCTGATAATAAAATACATAGTTAACTGATAGTTTCTGTCATCTGTAGTATAATGGTGTTAGGCCATACTCGACACAAATATTCAGGGTTGAGCTTGTTCTAAAGGCTCCAGCTGCAAAATGTATTCCACTGTGGTATAGTCGAGTATCTTGGCTAGAGCATTTTTTTGGGACTACTATAATATATTTTTGATCCGACCAAAGCATGGTACACTTTGATCATGGTAGTTTCGTATGCTCTCCAATTAGTTCCAAAATCTAATTACTCTCAAAAACTGAGGTTTTCTAGTACATTCCAAATGTCGACATATGATGAGGAGCCATCACCTAGAAGAAGTCCTGGCGGTTGTGGAATTTTACGTTCTCTGCTGTAGTGAATACATTTGTTTTGTTTTTTAGAATAGAAGCAGAGCCCCGATGATTTCGACCGGTCATCAAATCGATTTATTGTTTCTTGGAGGTTTTCTTTTATAGATAAGACATCTTTCTTTCTATATAGAATAGCAAGATCATCTACGAAGAGCATTACCTTAATTCCGCGTGAAAGATTTTTTCTTATCACTTTGAACACCGCCTTGTGGTACCTCACTAATTATTTTACATTGTTTGATTTCCATGATTCTTTTTCCTTTCATTTATTCTTCTTCTAAAAATATCTCCCTTTTTTTATATTCAATGTAGTTCGCCAGTTACATATTTTTTTTTTAATTTCTTAAATTCTTTGCTCGGAAGTTGTATGGCTTTCTTGCGATCACTATTGAACCATGGGACAGGAGGCCTTTTGTAATGTCCTTTTGATAAGTTACCCTTGAATCCAAACGAATGTAATATGTATAAGATAATGAATTTAAATGTTTTATCAAAGACCTTTTGAATAACAAAGTAAATTGCAATAGCTTACTCCTCCTCGATAATAAATCCGTACTGTAATTCGGCTTCCATTTGAACCTGCAGATCTACAGCTGATCTGCTTTTTCGAAAACCTCATTGGAAGTTTTAGATGAGATGGCACTTTTCTAGGATCTATGTGAGTATATTATCTGGTCCTGGAAAAGATACCTTGACAGTTTGAAGTATTGACTGAAGCTCCCACATGCTGAATGGAATGTTATAATATTGATATGATTTACTATCACAGAAGTTTAGATCCTGAATAATGTTATTTTTAGAGGTAGTCGCGTAAACTTCTGAGTGATATTAGGCAAATTTTCTTCAAATAATTTCCGGATTATTGCATATTAGTGTATATTTGTAGGAAGAATTGGTTCCTCTTAACTTCCTTATTTTGTCATATATAAAATTGCAGACAAATTAATAGACTCAACAAATTTCTATGATTCTTTTTTTATGTAATTAAGATTCTTCTGTAAATAGCCGTTTCTCTTCTTTTTGGGTGGGGGAGCACCTTTTGCATTTAAAGAAGTTTTATATTCTCATAATAATTCCTTGTCTAATTTTATGCTTTCTAATTTTATAATAAGGCGATGGAGCTCGCCCTTCAACAATTAGATATGTTGGAGTTATATCTGTTACTTGCTAAATGATTATTTCAGGAGAGAAGATCATTTAATTTGACTGCGAGCTCATATTATTTTTTGTGAGAGGTAGATAGTCACTTTTGGTTTATTATCCCTAATGGGGGCAACCTTTTTACAAAATATAGGTTATATCATAAATCAAAAGTTATATCATTAATTAATCACTCATTAACATTAATACGTACGTACGCCATAATGTTTTTAACTGCAACAGGTGTTGTTAAAACAAGAAAAATTAACAATACCCAACAAGAAAAATTAATAAAAATTATTATTTTTTCTAATAACATTTATTTTCTTCAGTAATTTTTAAAATGGAATTAACATGAATTTTGGTATAACCCATCAAAATTTAGTCATTTCCTAATACATGAATGCCTATTCTTCAAAATATTATTTATCTATTCCTTCATCCTAAATTTTTTTCTTCCTAATTTTTTTTTGTGCCTATCACTTGTTAGTTTTCTCAATTTTCTCAAGCCGTTTTTTTAACTATATAACATGATTCATTCTTTATATATTCATTCTTTATATATATATATATATATATTCTTTTTTTTTTTTTTTTTTTTTTTTAATATGAAGAACATTGACCGCGGGATGTGGTCTCCTAGGCCACATCCCGATTCTCAATTTAAAGTACGGAGTAGGGTCAACAATCCCACAACGGTCGGTGTGAGTTGCCTCCAGTAGACTGGCGAGCAGCGTGGCTTTCCTTGGTGTGGGCGGTCACCCATCCAAATGCTAACCTCGCTCGGCGTTGCTTAACTTTGATTACCTATTGCAAGTGCCTTAGCCAGCATGGCTACCCCAACCCCTATATATATATTTAAGTGACCTTTTACATAATAGCTGTTGGTTTTATCCAAATATTGTTTGATTACTAACAAGCAAACTTATGGTTTAATGTTTCAAAATTAAAGAGCGTGAATAAGTTTTCGTATTCATAGAATCAAAGAAAATAAGGAGAAAAAAATATGATATTTGAAATCATCCAAATGATATTTGCCAAAAGTAGATAATGTTTGTCTAATGACTCTGT